AGAGTCTTGCTCTGTCACCCAGGCTGGAGTGCAGTGGTGTGACCTCAACTCTCTGCAACCTCTGCCTCCCGGGTTCAAGCAATTCTTGTGCCTCAGCCTCCTGAGTAGCTGGGACTACAGGTGTGCGCCACCAAGCCTGGCTAATTTTTGTATTCTTAGTAGAGACGGGGTTTCACCATGTGGACAAGGCTGGTCTTGGACTCCTGGCCTCAAGTGATCTGCCTGCCTCGGGCTCCCAAAGTATTGGGATTACAGGCGTGAGTCACTGTGCCTGGCCTGGAAGTAGGGTTTTTAGGGTCGGGGGATAGGATAGAGTCAGGTGGTGATGGGATGATGTACTTAGCTTTGCACTTTGAAAAGATGGCCCTAGAAGTATCTGAGAACCTGAGGGAGACCAGTTAGGTGCCTACTGCAGTAGTGATGGGAACTCAAACTAGGGTGGTGGGAGTGGAATAGTGAGAAACAGGTGGTTCTGGGAGGTACGTCAGAAGGAACATCAATAGGGCAGAGGATAAAGTAGGTATCAGGGATGACTGCTAGGTTTCAGGTTTGCCATGAGGATTAGTGGAGAAAAAAATAAGTAAAAGCATCTTGCACTGCAGCCTACACTGAAAACCTGGTTCCTTCCCTCTCTCTTCTCAATCGCTACATTTCTGTGAATGCACCTTAGTGCGCCACTTACCCACTTAGTGCGCCACTTACCCACCCACTTACCCACCCAAGTGAGGAGCCTCCCGGGGCTTCTCACTTAGAAGATGGGGTAGACCTGGGCAAGGGGTACAGAGATGTGCAACTAACAGGAGGCCACTGATGCTCCAGAAGAACCCAGGGTTTCTGAAGCTTATGGGGCCCCAAGGGGTCCCGGTCTGTGCCTCCCCACTTACCTGAGGGTGGCAGAATTTCCTGCTCTGGCCTGGTTTCTGGGAGAAGGCTCTCGTACCAGCAAACAAAGAAAACTCTCTCCCTATAGAAGGGAAAAAGCTGTTATTAGTTCGTCTTGTCATGGGGCAATGAAGATTGCAGTCCAGGAGCTTGAAACAGCCTCCTTTCTGGAGAGAGTGACACCCAGAAAGTCTGTTGACTCCACCTGCTGGGCAAGTTACCCAACCCTGATCCTGTTAGACTGTGCACAGTATCTCCCTCTAGGGCGAATGCACCAATTAAAGGAAATAATGTATGCACAGGGCTGGACAAGGTGGCTCAGGCCTGCAATCCCAGCACTTTGGGAAGCCAAGGTGGGTGGATCACGAAGTCAGGAGATCGAGACCATCCTGGCTAACACGGTGAAACCTCGTCTCTACTAAAAAAA